TTCCATTCATTCATTGTTGCACTCTCCAAACAGGACACTCCCCCGCCCCCTCCCCCCCCCTTCTCCAACCAGAGTCACCGCTTCACCATCACAGGTTCTGACCCCTCTGGGTAGGGAAGTGTGACCCTGGGCCAGACACTGATTGTCTCAGCCCCAGTTTTCCCCGACTGTGCAGTGGGGTCAGGTGCACCAAGGTGCGAGGGGCCTCATCAAGGCCAAGGGCTGTGACTGGCTGTCCTGGGCTTCCACCTCGGAGCCTGGACTGCGGGGAGCCAGGGAAGAGGAGCCTGGAAATCTTGCGCACCCCTGGAACTGCCGCTCCGAAAGGCCCAGGAAGAGCAGTCTGCTGTTCTCCAACTGCTGCTAAAGACTTCATCATAAGCGGGGAGCCGGCCTACGGGGACACTGAGGAGGGGACAAGACCAGGGTCCGGGAGATCAGGGCCCTCGAATGGTGTGACCAGGCCCTGAGCCACTTTGAACCTCGGTTTCTGTCTTTGTAAAATGGGGTTGATAATAAACAACTCCCTGTACCTCCCAGGCTTCTTGTGAGGATGAACTCAAAGAAAAAACATCTACCAAGTTCAGATATGCTTGAGAATGGATATCGCGGGCCCTCAGGCACCACCAAGGAGCCTCGGGTCCACAGTGAGGGTCCCTCCCTAAACTGAAGCGTCAGAGCGACCTCATCGCTGCCCTGAACGAGGCGCGAAAGGCCGAGGGGCGGCTAGAACCGCCTGCCCGCGCGGTGCCCTGAGGCCCCTGGAGGCTGGAGGCGCCTGGCAGAAAGTTCACCCTTGCAGGAGCTCCTACGCGCTTTCTCCGCCTTCTCTTCTAACTCTGCGCTCTTTCCTGACTCACTTTCTTCTCTTTCCTCAACATTTTCCCCTTTCGCGCTCCCTTGCCCCATCTTTCTTTTCTCGCTCCGTCTCCCTTCATCGTCACCCTCGCACCAAACAGCCAAACCCCCTTTCCAATTAAAGTGGAATTAGGCAACTCAATCAAATTAGTTCCCTATTAAAGCCCTTCTTTATTAAACCGTTTTCTTGTCCTGCTATTAAGTTTCACCGCCTGGCGGAACTCGAGCTGGCCCCAGAAGTTTACCTTGGGATGTCGCCGGCCCCCGGGTAGGGGAGGGGGCGCCCAGTTTCCTGAGGGGGGCGGGAGGCCGGCCCTGGGAGTCGAGATAGTTCGCCCAGCTCCGCCTGAGGAGGGAAGGGGACAGGGGTGAGGGGACCCACGGCCACGAGGTCTGCGTGAAGGTGCGTCCCCAGCCCGTGCTGTCACCACCCTCAACACAGAATGTCACTCCTGGGCCTAAAGTCCACACCAGGGAGAGGTCACAGCCTCCCAACTCTGGCCCCGCGGCCTCTGGGAGAAGGGGGACGCCCAGCAGAGGACCTGGGTGGGGCGCAAATCTGTGTCTGAAGAGTGAAGAACCTGGAGAAGGACTCCGAACTCAGTCAGGACCCAGGCCCCACCCCAGCCAGGGACCCAATGCGTCTGGAGGCCCTCCCCCACCCCGCATTGCCTGAGTTCTAAGCCGGGCGCTCCAGCGGCCCGCCTCCCTCTCCCGCACGTGTCTGAGCGCAGGCGGGAAATCAAGACCTTTTCATCTGCCCGCGGAGGGGCTGGAGTCGGCGACGTTTTTCTTAGAAAATAACATTTATTTCTAGCTCATGTCTATGCAAAGGAAAGCACAAAGTGAGCAGTTCTCAGCAGTAACCTCGCCCGCTGCGGACCCGGGCTGGGCGTCCGGCGAGGCCCGGAGGCGGGGACGCGCCGCGCGCACGTCTGGCGGTCACAGGCGCGGGGCCCTGGTCCCACGCGCCTCCACGGCTTCCGGGAGGGACAGGCCGCAGCCAGAGGCGCGGGGTGGGGGCAGGCTGCGGCCCGAGTTTACAATATATTCCATCTATAAAACCTGATAAGTACAATGCGCGCATAGTCTAATTTTTTTTTCCATTTTGTCCTTTTTTTAGGGTGTTTTTGCTTGTTTTTAATGGATTTTTTCACGTTAATACCGAGATCACCTACAGATTACAATTAATAACTTAGAATTCCATTGTATAACATTATACACGGGCTTGTATATATATATATATATGTATAGATTATATATAGATTTATACATATATAAAAACTCACACTGCACCAAGGAAACCCATGCTTATTGGCATAAGCAACAAAGAGCGACAAATACCGCAACGAGGAAAGTGCACCTTAGAACTCGTTTCTTTTTTTTACAAATTGATATCGATATATATTTGTGTCCCCAAGACTCGACTCAGTGCCAAGAGGTTTATACATCCTAAAATTATATTTGTTAGAGCAAGTATTTAAAATGTAAAAAAAAAAAAAAACACCCAAAAACCAAAAAGACACGGGTAGGGGGGACATAGAAGACAAACTCCCTCCATGGCCATCCTACATCCAGCTGAGAGGCTGCGGGCGGGTGCGCACAACCGAGAGAAGCTTTCGGAGGAGCTGCGAAGCCTTAAGGAGGGGGCTCCCCACGGCGGCCCGGAGTGGGGAAATGAGGATCCAGGCCACGCACCCCCTCCGAGGGCATCTGCATCTGTAGCTGCTCCCCTTTTCTCAACCCTCTCTACCAACCTTCCAAACCAAAACCCAAAGCCACTTTGGAGCGGGGAGGATCCCGGCTGGGCTCAAAGCGCGCACGCTGGGCGTCCCGGGAGGGCCAGGCGTCTCCCCTACTGCTTCTCAGGGGCGCCGTTGACCATGGGCCCGTACAGGCCGCCGCCGTAGGTGGGCTCCTTGTGCACCGAGGCTGCGGCGGCGGCGGCCGAGCGGTCGCGCATTAGATCGCTGAAGGCGTAGTCCATGGGCGGCCGGAAGCCGAGCGTGGGCACTAGGCCGGCTGTGGAGTACGGCGCCATGAAGGCCAGGCCGCGGCTGTGCGCAGCCGCCGCCGAGTAGGCCAGTCGCAGGGGGCTGAGGCCGAGGGGCGCGCCCAGCGGATAGGCGCCCGCATCGGCGCCGAAGTGGCTGGCGTTGGGCTGCAGAGGTGAGAAGGCCGAGCGGCTGCTCAGTGAGCCCAGCGCCCCGGGCGCCATGGCGCCAGCCAGCAAGGGTCTGTGATGAGGGGGTGCGGCGGGGCCGGCCTGCAGCGGCGCAGGCAGCCCGGGCCCCCCGGCGGCTGCCGCGTCCACGCGACCGGGCCACGCGTCGTCTGTGGCCGCGGCTGCACCCACTGTGGCTTTATCCGGGGGCGCTGCAGGGCCCAGGCCGGCAGCCAGTCCCCCGCGGTGATGGTTCAGCACCTGCTCGATGGCCTGGACCACGTCGCCGCCGCAGCCCTGCAGCACCAGCTCCAGGACGCCACGCCGGTGGCCCGGGAAGACGCGCGTCAAGATGTCCAGCGGCGTCCGCTGCCGTGGTCCCGGCCCTCCGCCCAGCCCTGGCGCCGGGCCTGCCTCGGCCTCTTCCTTGTCGACCTCTGAACCAGATTCGGAGCCCAGAGGGCTGGCGGAGCCGGGACTGTCCTCCTCGCCACCGCCGCCGGGGCCAGCGCTGCCCGGGCAGCTGCCACCTGTCTCCTTTGAAGCTCGAGCCAGAGGCGAACCCGAAAATGACTCGCCGTCGCCGTTCTCTGAGCCAGAGCCTGGCCGCACCTCGGGGGATGAGGTCCCGGGACCCGAGTCCGCACCATCAGGGGATAATGGCTTCCCCAGTGGGGGCTGCGGGCTGCCTGGGCGGCCTGCCTGCAGTAGTGTCTTGGGAAAAAGGTCAAACTTCTGCAGCTTGGCCTCTAGGAGGAGAGAAAAAGGAATGGAATGTCAGGAGGTGATGGTCCCCACCGCTCCCCAGCCCTGTGGATTCCCGTGTCCTGCTTCTGGGAGCCCTCCACCCTGCACTCACTGGACTCCAAGCATTCCTTCCTTGCAGTGCAGATTCAGCTTCTGTTTCTCTTCCCTGCCTGTCAGGACTCTTCTACCCAGAATACTGTGTGTGTACTCAGAACTCCAATCACTGGGACATCTTGGTGTCCAAGGGCCCCTCTTCCCACCTCTGGTCCCAACACTTTCACCCAGGACTCTCTTTCCTAATCCTGCATTGAGCAGGGTCTGGTCTAAGGTTCAAGCAGAAGTTAACACCACTCCCACCTGCTGTACAGAAGACTTGACTTGACCTCTGTGGTTCTAAGAGTAACTCCTACTCTGGGTACAGAACCCAGCAAGGGAGGTAGGTGCCTTGGGAATTTTGGAAGTCCCAGGTCTCTCCACAGACAAAAAAGAAGAGCCCTTATTTGAAGTCACTTTTCCAAAACTATGATCCAACAAGTTCTTCCCTCTACCTCTCTTTCTACAGAGAAAGCTAGAATCAGGCCTTGGCAGGAGAAAAGTAAACAGGATAGGGCACCCAGGGAAGCAAGAGACTGGGTACCCTGAGAAATTAAGGACAAGAGGAGGGAGAAAGGCGCAGAGTGCTGTTTTCCATGGGGTCTTTAGAATATGAGGAAAACAATCACACAGGCAGGTATGAGAGTGTCTTCAGTAGGTAAGATAAGCCAGTATGGTGAAGCAAAGGGAGGCCAGAGAGGGGGAAGGATAAGGTGGAATGTAGATTGGGGGGGGGGGGCAGAGTCAAGGACAAAATGATCCTTTATTGGCGAAGCGGAGTGGGACGAGATCTGTCTAACTTTGGGAAGAGGGGAGCGAAAAGAAAGCATTTGGCCAACAGAGGTAGGGGTAAAATGCACAAGGATCAGAAAGGGACGAAAGAACTGCACTTGCGCCAGATTTTACGAGTTCAACCTACGTGCGGTGAACTCAGGCGCTTAGGCGTTGGGAGAAGGGCATTCTATCCTCCTGGTTCCAGAAGCCAAACCCCAGACCCTGCGCCCCTAGCCTCCTTCTCTCCGTCCCCGTCCGGAAGGGCCTGGCCCCGCAACTCACCTGCGCCCCCAGCGCCGGCCGCGCCGCCTCCACCCCCCGTAGGTGCGCCCGTCCCTGGGCCACCGCCGTCCGCGGCGCACACGGAGCCAAAGACCTCGTAGGCAGGCCGCGGCGGGATGATGCCGTTGGCGGCGGCCAGCGCCAGGCCCTCGGCGGTGCCGTAGAGCAGCTGCAGCTCGCGCGCCTCATTCTCCTCTTGAGCCTGCTGCCTGCGCAGCGCCACCTGTGCCGCCATGACGCGCTGGCGCTCGGCGATGAGCGTGCACTTGGCACAGAGGCAATCCTTCCAACGGCAGTAGCGCTTGTGGCCTTTGAGCGCCGACACCACGCCGTGGTTGCGGCAACGCGCGCATTTGGGGGTCCGCGGGTACTTCTCTGCAGCCCGCAGCAGCAGTGGCGGAGCACGCAGCAAGCCTCCAGCAACGCTCACTGGCAACGATGCGGCCGCCGCCGCCGCCGCAGCCACTGATGCCACCGAGGCCACTGGAGGCCCTGTTGCTGTCGCTGCAGCTGTCGCCGCGCCGGGTACGCTGGGCAGCTCTGAGCGCAGCTCCATGGCCGGACCTGGAGAGGAATAGGATGGAAAGGGATGGGAAAGGGCGAGAAACCAGCGGTGAGGCATGTGCAGTGCGCTAGGCTGAAGCGTAGACTCCAGCAACAGAGCCTTGAAAATGGACATTTCGCATAAATTTGACTGTTAGCTGCCAAATTACTGGGGCAGGTGCCTTTAGAGCCCCTTGTGAAGTCAACCTTTCCCATTCCCCTACCTGAAACGACCCCTTCACTACCTCGGCCTAGAACCATTCTTTATATATGAGGTTCATACGCTAGATGTAAGATTCCATTTGAAATAGTGATTCCGCTGGGAAAATGAAAAGACGTGTCAAGTCTGAAATTCACAAGATCTGAAGGAAAACACTATGCCTGAAAAATTTGGATAAACTGTAAAGAAATGGATAGAGAGAAATGTGTATTTGGTGCAACTCCTGTTAGAAAGAAAATTCTGGCCCAATAAACAGGTTGATAACCAAGATTGAAATACCGCAAACCAAATGTTTAGTTTGGTGGAAAGGTGAGGAAAGGAAAAATTTAGTTCAGCCAGTTGAGCCTGTAATGTTTTGGTATTTTTTTTTTTTGGAGGGGGAGGCGGTCTCAGGTGAAGTAGAGAAAATAGGGAATAGAGGCGGAGCGAGGAGGCCGAGTTAGGTTGGGTGGCTTTGGGACAGTAGAAACGTGAGGGCTAGAAGTTCGGTGGCGCGGTCTTCCAAAGAAGAGGGAGAAAAGGAGGATGCAGATTGCTGTTAAGAGGCTTGAGAGAAGGCAGATAGAAACTTTCTTTGGGTAGACAAACCAAACATAAGTTGGAAGGGTAAAGAAAACTGTGAAAACCAAGCTGATCTGGGTTCTGGGAACTAATGTCCACGCCAGGGTGAGGACTGTGAGACAGAAAAAAACAGCCGCGTGCAGAGGTTTGGAGTGGGAACGGATTTCAGCCCATGGTGCCTGGTTAGTATCTGAAGGGGTAGACCAGAAGAAAGTGCTCTGCGAAAAGTTGGCATCGCGGAAGGGAGACACTAAGTGAATTTCCGTGCATTTCTTTGACCCCTTCCAACCCCTCCCCCACCCCGGGTTACGGCTGGAGGCCTCTGACACGCCCTCCCCACCTTGGGGCCCCTCGAGACCACGTTCGCAGGTCTACTATTCTAGTTTCGTGGTTGGGTTCTGGAGTCTTGGATGTCCAGCAGGCCTCAGTCACTAAGGAGGAGGACTCAGTCTGGACCTGGCCACGCTAGGACGTCAGGATACCAGCCGGCCGCAGCCCCAAAGGCCCACGCAGGCCCAGGTCCCAGTTTTCCACCCTGGCCTTCTATGGATCCTCCAGACTGTGCTGGAACCAGGACCTGAGGATCCTGAAGACCCCGTTCTCGAATCCCAGACACACTCCCCATGCGCGCTGCCGATACCCCTTTGCCCCTGGGGCCGCGCAATCGTTCTGGCCTGCAGGGTCAGGGCCTCCCCTTCAGGGGCCTCAGGCCGACCAGGCTCCCTGCTTTCTCTCGGGCCCTCAATTACCTGCCTCGGGCTCCGGGATCCTCCTCCTTCGCTGACGCTGCACTCGCCTCCCAGCTCTGCTTGCTGGCGTTCTCGGCCTCTCTCCCCTTCGCCCTTTACCCCTTATCTGACCACGTCACCCTCCTTCGGTCACCATGTCCTAACTTCCGGACCCCTCCGAACGCGGCGCAGGCCAGCCCTTTCGTCAGAAATCAAAACTGGGGGTCCGCGTGGGGCTAGCGGGCTGGAACTCACGACCCGGCCCTCGCCGCACCGCGTCCCCTTGCGGTGCGCGCCGGACGCCGCGCGCAGCCGGGGCCCAGTTGCCCGGCGCTGCCAGACTCTCAATGAGCCGCTCGCCCGCTCTATTGTTGCTCCTTAGGGCTCCATTAGACAGAATTGGACAACAATGTGGCGCCTGCCATTGGCCAGGGGAGGCAGCCGGCTCTCTGATTGGCCGGGCCCGCGCCCGGGGAGCCCCGCATTCTACAGTGTCCGAAAGATTCGAAACTCCAAAAGCTTAACTGTGTACCTTGGGGAGGGGCGGGGGCGCACCAGGGAAGGAGTAGGGGGGGAAAAATGGGCGAGGAGGAGCGTTGAAAATATCGTGACAAGTAGTTTCCGTGCGCCCAAGAGCGTGTGAATTGCGCCTAATTACCGTGGCCGGTGCGCCTCTCTACGTAGACGAGTGTAACCCCGCGGCTTCTGGGGCGCGGGCTCGGCTGTGCTGCTCCCACTGGCCAGGGGCGCTTGGCAAGGCCGAGCTTCCCTAGTGGCCCTGGCGGCCGGGGGTGGGATGGGGGCAGGTGACAATTCAATTACCGCGGCCGGGGTGGGGGTGGGACGGGAGCGCAGGGGTGGAGAAGGGAGGGTGTTAATGGCATAAATGCCACGACCGTGTTTCCTACCTCCTCCCGGCTGCTGTGGCATGTTCCCTAGTCCAATGTGTTTGGGATAGTTGTGGGCTGATGGTTTGGGGTTTCCTCTGTCGCCTTTAAACCTAGGCTCTCTTATTTTCAAAGTCCTGATACCATGGGCGTCACGGAGGGTAAGTCTGACTTTTTGAGGATTTTCGTTTTCTTAACGGAGACCTGGAGAAAAGAGGTCTCACCTCCTGGCTGCGCCCGACGCAGCCCCCGCGCCCCTCCCCCGCCCACCCGCCCGTCCGCTTTGCGCTCTTCGGTCCGCATTTCTCCAAGCAGCTCCATTTCTTTTCAGTGATATTTGGATTCTTCTTGTCGTTGTTTTAAATTCATGGATAACTTTTAAAGCCGAAAATAAAAGACTGGGTTCTCTCTCTCCCCAGGACCTCCCGGACACAGGACGCGCATCCGCCTGTCCATCTTTGCGGGCAGGGCACAAGGTCGCTGAGGCCCCCAGGAGCAGTCTTTAACTTTCACCTTCTTCGGGCCCTGACGTCACGACTTGCTCCGCTGAAGAGGTAACAGGTTTCGGATTTTGTTTCACTTTTGAATGGCAACATCTGGAACGAATGCCGCAGTCCTGGGGCGGGGTCGCCCTCGATTTCTTTCTATCTCTGGTTTTCTTTCTTTTTTTTTTTCCTCCCTGTTTTTCCCTTGTGCTTATGTTTTCTTACTCACATTTTTAAAAAAAAATATATTTTTCGCAATAAGAAAGTTTTGTGAAATTAATAAGAAAAAAGTTTTTCTGTCGTTTCATTTCCTGCTGGTGTGTTCACGCTGCTCTTTGGAGCCGCAGGGGTCTGGCGAGGGCCGGGCGCGGGCGGATATGCTGGGCGCGCAGACTGTAGGGGCGCCCAGGCCTAGAGACACAAGCCACTCCCGCCTGGCAAGGCCGCTGGTCCCTGCGGTGCCAGCCCAGCAGACATGGACGCTCGAGGCTCGAGGTTGGAGAAGGAAAGTCAAGCCAGTGGGAGCCCCACCGCAGAACCTGGCCCTTACGGGAGAAGGGGCCAATCCCTGGGAATAAAGATCAAAGGTAAACCCCTTAGAGTCCTTTTGCAAATTTGCAGAAAGTTGGCCCTGCCCAGAGCACTTGCATGCTCTATTCTGATATTATATGAAAAACTCAGCGACATAATTCCGATGTGATATGAAAAACCCAGTGGCTTCCAATAGATTCCACTTATTGGATCCCAAGAACTTGTTTGGTCAAGAGAAAGAGGTCAGCTCTCCTGGGGGTCACTGGAGCAGAGCTGAGGGTTAAGGTTTTCCTAGGGGATTATGTGCCTTCCAGGAGCAGGAATTCAGACCCTGTGCTCCAGTATTTTGAGATTGTGAGGCCAAGAAAACACGAAAAGTGCGTGCGCCCAGGCGCAGGAGGAGCGCCGGCCAAGGCCAGATCTGGCACGGGGATGCCAGGCATCTACACGCCTCGCTCCCTTGGATAGGAGTTTTGGAAATTCTTTTGAAACCAAAACGAAAGAAGCTTGACAAACCCTCCAAACTTTTGGTGAAGGCGGCAGTGGCCCCGACAATATTTTTTTAGGTCAGACATAGGGTCAAGTTCCCTCACCCTATTCGAAGTGCAGCTGAAGTGAAACCGAGGAGGTCATAGCCTGGAACCTAATTCGGAACTGGATCCCTCGCTGACTGTAGAAGCCTCTTTTTTTATTTTTGGAGAAGAGAAGGGGGCATGTCTTCTTGTCAGACCCAAAAGAAAAGACTGTGTCCCCTGCCACCCGCAGTGCCGCTCCTCTCTGTCGTGCACAGTCCCACAGGACTGAGGAACCAACAGCCTGTCTGCGGTGCCAGGAGGTTGGTGTACTCATGTACCTTAACGTGTAATGGGAGGGCCAGAGTGACCCTCTTGGCTCAGGTGACGGGTGGTGGTGGTGGTGTGTGCAGTCCAATCCTAACCTTTAATATGGCAGAGATCTTAGGGCTCCTGGTGCAGCCTGGGGAGAGATTCTCCAAATGTGGGCTGCAGTGAGGAGGTCGGAAGATAGGACGGCATGCTCAGGCTGAGGGACCCAGCCCGATTCCTGCGTGACTTCCAACCTGGATATATGCCTTCGCAAGTATATCTTCCTTCTCACACCGCATGCAGTGACCATCAGTGGGACATGCACTCTCCTCCAACCCAGAAAGCTCTCCTGGCCTCCCTGACCTCATAGCGCAGTCATAAAAGTGTCCTCAACCTGGGACATTCACGTGGAATGTGACTTCACACCCAGGCTTCCACAGACTGCACACTCAGACACGAGCAGATCCTCATACATGGTGCCCTGTCCTGGTCCCTGGTCCGCCCAGACCTGGGCCTGCCCCTCCCCCATGACTCCAGCAAAAAGAAAGGGCGGGTCCCTACACACACTTTCTCTTAGTGGAGAATCATTTACCCAGGCCTCTGCCATGACAAGGACTGGGCAGTGGAGGTGAACGCCTTGTCGCATAAACCCACCCCGTCCCACATAGGAGGTGGGTCCAGTCTCCCACTCCCCGCCCAGGCCGCGGTGGGGTCCAAAGGGGCGGCCCTGGTGGAGACCCCTGTGAGGCTGGGGTTGGGGCTGAGGGCTCGGAGGGGGCTGGGGTTCGATGTGGGGGCGGGGGTCGAGGGCGAGGATCCGATGGCTCTGCAGGAGCAGGTCGGGGGCGCTGGCGGGGGAC